GACTGACCTCAAATGGCCTCAAAAGATGTATTCCTTGTTTTGATTCTGCTCCTCGTGGGTGAACGAATGTTCTGTCTCTTTTCCTGGTGGGTGTTTTCTTTTCCTCTTTTTTCCTCTTTGATAATTTGCGTGCGTTATTATTGGCAATAATAGAAAAACGATATAGGAAGAGAGTCAAGAAAACATAGAAGAATGTTTGTTTCTTTTTGTCTTGGAAGGGGGGGATTCAAAGTCGAGTCCCGATGGGAAGATGGAGGAAGTAGATGGGAGAGATCGAAGAGAGGAGGGGGCGGCACCACAACGGTTGCGGGAAGGATATCTTGACTAGGGACAGACGAACAGGTAAAGGACCAAAGTTAAAGAGAGCTGAAGGGCAACGGTAGTGGCTCGCTGGTCTGTGTGGTTCTGGACTGGACTGGGAGAGGGGAAGGGATGTCTGTCTCTCTCTGTGTGTGTGTGTGTATGTTATGTGGGAAGGGAAGAAAGCAAAGGCCTGGCTCAATGGGTTGGTTAAACGGTGCGATGCGAGTGCGACTGTAATGTGGAGGGTCCAGGGTCGTTATTTAGCTGCGCAAGAGACCCATCCTTCATCACTACAGAATATTCCCAATCAACAACTATTCCAGATCAGGAATGGGATACAAGACTAAGATCTTTGGGAAAGGGGAAATTGTAAAAAAATTAAAGATGAAGGGAGAGGGGAAAGAGAGAAGAGGGGACGTTGGAAGAGAAAAGAAAAATATTATAAAAAAATAAGAGTTACAGTGAAAATAAATTAAATTAAATCTAGAAAAAAAAATATTCCTGGGGGAAAATAGAAATAAAAAAAAAGAAAATGGGCAATCAAAAACAGCAGCGATGGAGGGCAGCACAGCGTCAGAGGGATTTGGTGGTTAGTGGTTAGTGGAGATATCAGAGTGAGCTTGTTACTAGCGGGAAGGTGGTGTAATATTGACCAGGATGGATGCAGGACAGCAGAAGGGCCAGAGACAACCGCGGCAATCCTTGAGTGTGAGATAGAGAATCGACCAGACAAGCTTTGACTGGTGAGAAAGATACCAATAAGTTCTGAATATCAACAATCCGTAAACACCTTCAAGGGATTGAACACAGCCTGCAGCGACATGGTGGTGAAAACAATTCACGAGTACAGGAGCACGGAAGGGAATTCGACGGGGAACAGAAAGGCAGTGTAGAAGCTCCTCCTGCCATACTGGAAGAAAAAAAGAAAAGAAAAATGGGTAAAAAAAAAGAAACATCCTTGTAGCAGAAAATGGCTGCCGGCTTACATTCGGTCCTCGAACACCATTTTTTGGGTTTATAATTGTTTGTTTGACAGGCAATGACCTCGGTGAAGTGGGTAGGTAGGCGGATGGGGTGATGGGGGTTGAAAGGAGGAAGTCATCGCCAACGCACTTGAAACTCGGTAAACAGCGCAGACACCGGGGATGTCACTTCTCTGACGGAATATTCGATTCGCATTCGGAAAAAGGTCGAACAAAGATGGAACAAAGAACCGCGGAAGCCCAGCAATGAAGAGAGTGGTATGCGATGCAAAACATTGAGTTTATCGCGGATCGAATACATTCAGATTTGCAGAGCCCCTGGGCAGATAGGTCCATGGGCAACTCGGCAGGAAAACGAAAGTAGACCCCCTGAAAGAACGGCATCACTTCGACGGTGATCACATTGTTCATCCGGACTTCGGATGACCGAGTGGAGAGCACGCCGTATGCATGTATGCATGTACCGTACATATTATGTCCACGGGCTGCCAATCAATTCTCCGCCGACAGATCTACCGCCTGGAGCTAGAACCCCAGGTTCAAATGCTTACTACAACCGGGACTCTGGTGATTCAGGTCCTCTTAAAATGAGCTCTGTCTGAGAACCTGTAGCTAGGTGAGTAGGTAATTCAAGAACTGTCTATTATTATTCCCACGCTGCCGACACACATGGAGCAGGGACCAGTGGGTCTGCCTTGAGGGTCAGTATCTACCACTAACTTAGGCATACCCGTGATGATAGATCGCGTTGGACTACTGTAAATAATCCATCAGTCTCGATAGAGATAAGAGTACGGAGCGAATCCTGCTTCAGGCAATGTTGCACCCAGACCTTGGACTACGAGTATGCGACTGACCAGTGACGAGGATGAATCGTTCCAGAAGATGCACTAAGTGTTGAATGAACGCAAAATTCCCCCCGGCATGTTTGGGCTGCAATATCCACTCAGGTGGTCATTTTAGGTTTGCGATGGAGGCGAGAATTGGCTGGTCTGGAATGAATGATGGTGGAAGATTGGCGGCGGGAGGATTAGGCACGATACAGTAGCCGTTAGTTTAGTCCGGTGGGTGGTAACTTCTCAGTAAAATTCAATACCACAGGGTCCGTACAGCATGATACCACCTCAGTGTCCTCATCCTTTTAAGACTTTCAGTTTCTCTACGGTTGAAAATTGGCTTGGAATTCTATGGCGCGGCATTGAAGAGGCCACAGGCGATTGCAGTCCTTGACATGACTTACCCGAGCAGCTCAGGAGAATGCAGATGATCGATAAGGGCAATGGCCCTTGAGAACAGACCAGGCGGTGCCGTGCCCTGGCAGCCAGCCAGCCTCCACTTGGTGTGCATAGAGCCATGGATGGTGGTGATGTTGTCTCGATGAGGTCGTCCTAGAATAGTAAGTAGGGAGTAGTTCGGCGAGAAAGAGGATAACACCTGCATCAGCACTTCAATTTTAGTTCACCCAAAACTGGTGGTTCTAGCCTCAGTGTTCTTTTCGCTGTTTCTGGATTCTCTTTTATCTTTTTTTTTATTCCATTCCATTTCTTTCCCCCCTCGTTTAGTCCACGGGACGTTTCGACCAGAGAGAAAAATACCGCCATACGCGACCCGACTCGATCTGGTTACACTCCGGTAAGAGAACAGCCGATCTGACTTGCTGCTGTCAGCCTTGTGCCCACTTTCCCGCAAGCGCCACACCACCACCATTACCACCACCACCACAACGATTCATTCCTCCATCTCCTCCCTCCGCGGCCTCCCCACTAATCAAGAGCACTCTATTCACCACATATGGATTAGATCCCTTCAAGTCCAGACCTGGGCATAAATTGCTTAATGGATGGGTTGCACTTGTTGCAACTGAATGCCGTCATCCCTCATATCACACACACTCTCTCCCATCCTCCCAATAGCGAGCTTGGTTTGAATGAACAGAGAGACTGCCTACCAGTGTGCTCGACGAATGATTCATTCTCCTCTTCTCACTCATGGGCAGGCGATGTATTAGTCAATCATCTACGTTCCTCGAAGTCACTACTGCTACAGATTGTGCAACCCCAGCCCATAGCCTGGAAAGCGGCTGATCAATCATTGCCATTTTAGTGGGCTTCTGATCCTGCCGCTTCCCGGCAGCTAGCTTCCTGCATCATGTCTCAGTGAACATCTACGTCCTTAATCATTAAGTCAAGGGAAGGAAAGCGAGCCTTGACTCACGGCAGTGATCGATACAGTCTCGAAGCCAAAATTTGTCCACAGCTTGATACAGAGAGATGGACTCATAGGATAGCACGGGTCCTTCATCTACCTCCCGATCTTCCGCCAGTTGCCCCAGACGCCTTCCTGAAGGTGGACGTTGGCCTGTCAAATATCATCAGTGGCTTTGCTCCACCATGCCTTTCGTACAATTAGACGGTGGCTTCAGCGGTAGTGGGGCTTGGCACGGGCATTGAGAAGGGAATGAAGGTTCTTTTGGGTCGGCCAGCGGGAAATAACAGAAATTCATGAACGAAACCACCGTCCCTCTCTATCTATACCAAGCGCTTTCAACATTCCTGAATCTGGTACTCGATTCAGGGGAAAGACATTTGATTTCCTTACCCAGGCTATCGATGCGCTTAGTTGCCATTTGAGCCAAACCAAGCGCCGTAGGAACATTCCTCATGCATCGATTCCATGTGAGCCTGTCGGGACATATGTATGCCAGGGCTCGTCATAACCTTCTGTCTCGGATGATAAGACAACCGCTGTTCAACCTATGTTGTGTTCGTCCACCGATCAGTCACAACATATGCGGCACGCGTCCAGCAGGTAAGCATTGTTTGTACTATGCTGGGCATATGGGGCCTCCTTTTGTCCGATATCCCAGCATCGATGTTGCGAACTCCACCTAAAGGGTCTGTTTGCAGGATTGAATGTTCTTCTTCGGTACAGACCAGTTCTGCGCAGGTGTCAACCAAACGTCAAGTTCTCCTTCGGAGGGCGATTTTAGACGAAGGGAAAGATGAAACTGGAGATTTTCCCAAGGAGGCTAGTCAAGTCGTCGTAATCGAGGGATGCTGCTACCGGCATGACTGGCTCCCGCACTCGAGAGGTCGAGTCTCTGTAAGTAACTACTGTACCATATTCTCAGGGAGGCCATGTGTATGGCATGCTCACGGGCGAGTGGGGTTCTTAGGCTGAACTAGGCTGAACGCAAGCAACGGTGTCAGGCTTTTCTTAAGCTTGCCATTGGCATGCAACTCTGATCGATGCAGGGTGTTTGAGACGGCGTTCATCGTTCCGTGCCTTCCTCCGGTCGCTTGCCGCTCACCGGCCGGTTTCTTGATTCCTCAATAGCTTGGAGGGAGTACTGTACGTACTAACTATCTGCTTCTGCAAAGTTTATCCCTCCTACTCTTTTAGCATTACATAGTATTTCTTTTGGCGGATGCATGACGCTAAGTATGATTGGTCCAAATTGTCCTCCAACCTCTATCGTTCCTATTGGAATCACCTTGTATGCTACATCGCGAAGGCTAGAAGCCCCGAGTCAATGCGACAAGTGCAGTAGAATAAGCTGATCATGAAGATAGTTAGCAACTGGCTGCACAAACAGTCATCCTTCGGGGCACGGAACCGAGTTCAATACAGAATACGGTACCGCGCACAATACATGAAAGAATACGGCATTACGATATGCCCCTGACAGGAGCACTGCTTCTTACCTATTCTTCATCCCTCTCTCGTCCTGTTGATTATCACCCGATCTTATGAGTGACCCTCTCGTCCCGCCCCTACTTGGTTCACTATTCCCTGGGATGACCATAGTTGCCTTACTTATTGATCAGGCGAAAGCATATAAGCAACATACGTCTGACGGTACGGGAAATTGTGGAGAGGCCGTGCTCCCAAACGATCAGGCGTGTCGATTAAGTTGGTGGAAATTAGAAGTGGTTAGTGGCCCGGTTCAACGCGCAATTACCGACTAGTTGCTGGTGATTAGTCGTTAGCATGGTCTCTACGGTATGGGACCTGGTGAGGTGCCCCTTCAGTCGAAGTTTGCTTGATCAAGTGGGGAAAGTTGTCTGTCACTGTCAGCAACATTATGAACAAGGAGACGGACGGGTGACGGCGGTCAGCCTGCGAACGAGGGCGCACTCACTTTGTCTGATAAACACGCTTGGAGTTTCTTGGCGTGGTTATCTATCGCATGCATTGAGTAAAAATCTATCGTTGTGAACTTGCCGATCTCAGACCACCAACGACTTGTTAGAGATTACGAGATCGAGCGGGCAATGGAACGGTGGGTGGCTAAGAGAGTTTCAACAGCTGAAACCAACCCCAACCCCAGCCCCAACCCGAGCCAAAGCGCCGAGAATGACAGGGGAAAAGCGGAGCATCGACGACATCAAGCTCCCTAGAGCAGATTCCAGGAGCCACTCTTCCAAAGCGAACGACGGGGGGCTTTGCTTCCGCTTCCGCCGAGGTGTCCAAATTCCAACCCAACCCCATGAAGGGATAGAAGAACCAAAAAAGGGAGGGAAATATTAGAAATAACTTTAAAGCCTCTGAGCGGATCAGCCGAACATCGCTCAGAATGTGGCCTGGTGAGTCCCCTCTCATTCTATTCAGAATCTGATCGACTGGGCGGATCCGAACCTAAGACTTCGGATCCAGCAAGCGACACTAGGAACGTTGATGATGCTGATGCAGCGGGACCGTTTACTAAAATAGAGGCTGCCTAGGAACCCAACTTTCTAGACAGCAACCAATACCTACGCCAAATGACTTGATGGTACCTATCTCCTCTATCTAGCCAGTTTCGCTTCGCCCGGCCATTTCCCACGAGGTACAGATCAGACACAACCCTAATCGAGGACCAACCTTTAGAAAGCAGGTGATGCGACTCCCCGGCGTCCCCGCTCCAGTGCTTGAAGTTATCCAATGGTTGCGATTATCGATCTTTGGAGGTTCGAAGCTCTCATAGAAGGTGCAAAATCAAAGTCACTACTTTCATCTCCTCATGACTCGTATTCTGAGTGTCAACCAATCCCTCCTCACCACTCCTTTATCCGACACTCCTAGTTCTGCGTCCTCAGTGTGTCAAACAAAAACAGGTTAGATAAAGGCAATAGTGCACCCCAAGAAACGGTCGCAGTAGCTGCTGCTTCTGCAATTCCAAGGTGGAGACCCATTTAGCCTCTCTTGGCTTTCTTTCATCCTTCTCCTTTGTCTCTTATGTTCTGCCTTTCCAACTTGTCAAACCCCCACCCCCTGTCGTGTCTCTGATCAACCTGGAATCTTGCTTCTAGGTAGTGATCGGCGGCTGGGGGTAATATGCACATCACGTTGGCCACTGCATTAAACACCCATACTAAGCCCCAAGACCCCTGTCTCACCGTTCACTTATCTGGAAAAGTCTAGGGACACTGAGGGTTTACGTCTGCCCACTTCTTGAACCTCGAACCTTAACGAATCATCCGGCTCGCTTCAATTGCCGGTGCAAATGGTCTCATCTATTAAATTGCTTCTTTGTCCCTTAGACAGAGTTCAGTGTGCAGGGCGTGCTCCTCTGCTTCTCCATTTTCCCTGTTTTGTCCCTTCCAACTCCATTTAATGGCTTGTCAACCAACGTCATCACCGAAATCATTTCTGAAAATGTTTTCTTGAGGGGATTCAGCGACAATCATTCTGGAGTCTCACGCCACTCGTGAAATGGATATAGCCTAGTACCTACGGTAAAAGCCGTGACTTCAACCAGGGCCGACCACTGGCAAGTTTGCCCCGCAGCCCGACCCCACTGGGCTAATATTAGTCTGTGATGGCCTCCGCCGAGGCCGATTCCTTAGTTAGAGTGACAGACTAGCCATCATCATCACATCGTCACTTCCTTTGAAGACTAGCTGGATGCAGCATAGCTCTGGAGACCACTGGATATCGAATAATCATTAGCTTGCCTGGCCTATCCATTTCATACACGATACATATCCATCATAGTATACGGACACATTCAAGGCGGACTGAAGCTACCTGTCTACATTCATACTTTGCCTACTTCTACTGTTACTTAACTTATTTTATTGTGGGAAATGAGAGTATTGAACTGAGGATTGCATGGATTTGCGCATGTGAACATTCATCGAGCAAAGCTTTGGTAGCTGGCCATATAGTTAGCATATAGTGTATGTATATATTACCATACAAAATACCTTACGATACGGACTACGCCGTACATTACAGCCATACACCCCTTCCCCTTCCTTTCTTCCCTCCCTCCCTTCCTTCCTTCCCTTACGGGCGGACCGGCGTCGGCTTTCCCGCGATTGTCATGACGCTCAGTGCATCCCACTTCAAACTACCTTGTCTTCTACCACATCCATATTTACATCCACGTCCAGAATCTCGACTGGGGCGAATGCAATCTTGAGCGGCTCGGTCCTTCTTGGCAGGAGACAGTGGCCAGCCCTAAGGAAGTGGTCGACTGACTTGCCTTAGTCCTGTCGCAGCCGTCACCCCCGGGTTGTTAAATCCGGACAAGAGCAAATGTTTGTTACTCAACTGGTACCTTGGCGTTCGGCACTCTGGTGCCGATCGCGTTTTTCTTTTTATCTCTTTCGTTCCTTCTATATTCTTTCCTCTTACTCTATTCTCCTCGTGTCCCTTGGTTTCGAATCACGGGGAGGATTCGAACCATGGAAAGAACGGAGGCTTTTCACTTTGGGGGGAGGGTGGATATGGTTCCTGTTCCCCATGGCGGGTGTCTAATCTCCCCGAATGCAACCATCCCGCGGGGGGAGGAAGGGTACGGTAAAGGTAAGAGAAAAAAAAAAGCATGGGTGGGATTGGAATGAGTTATTTTTCCGACTCCAATCTAACAGCAGGCTAGCAGGCTAGCAGCAATCCTCTAGCATCGACAAGACCGATACTTTCCGACATGATTTGCGCGTGGATCGCGATCTAGCCACCGAAGGCTTCTCCCGCTGGAGCTCCGCTGGCTTAACATGGTCTGGGTTTGGTTGTTTTGTTTCACTTTACTCACTCAGACATTGTCTGTCTATATTTTCTGTAGGTCTCGACTTCGGCCGGATCGGCTCCGTCTGGTCTCCATATCTGCGGCCCCATCTTCCATGGGAAGGGCCGAGAAAGCGAACGTGCTCTATACAAACATGGTATAGACCCATCAACTGGTTTCGGAGACTCGATCTGCTCTACCGGCAGGCAATCGCAACGCAAAAGAGTTATTTCTCCAACTTGAGAAGCGAACTGCTCATGAACGGATTGTTTTTTTTGCCCTCATGACTAAGCTTACGCGCAACTTCTTTGTTGCGTCGCACGTTGTACGGCACCATGAGTCAGCGGCAGGTTAAACTCGAACTTGAAAGAGAATGACAACCAACGTTTCCGTGGATTAGGAACGGGCGATGGGAGCTAGAGCACTTGACCACCATACATCAACAAGCAAGCAGGCTCCCAACCGGGTTATTCTAGACCATTCAAGGCCGATCGCTACCGAAGGCGTCATTTTACATAAGCTCCCCTCCCCGACGGAGTCGCAAACTGGCCCTGGCTGGCTCGGAGGGGAGATTCTGGCACATACACATCCGATAGTAGAAAGCTTTGCCTACAACGCCACTCTCTGCTCCAGATGGAGGGTGGGAATGTTCTCCGCACTGTAGCCGCCTCAGTCCGGGCACGGGGCGTTATTTTAGTCGGCAGGAGAATCAGCCTGGTGTCGATGAAGGAGGGAGGGGGGGCCCTATCACAACCTCAGCATAGCGGAGACCGCTTACGGGGCTTGATTAAGTGATTGAATTTCAGAGCTACCGGTCCTACGAGAGGGACTGGCCTTCGTCGGAGTCGGACTCAAGCGGACGCCGTGCCCGGTCAACCGTCGAAGGTTTAGTGTGGGTGTGGTGGATGTGCCAACAGGGTTGGAAGGGCCGGTTTGTGGCTATAGTTTCGCCCGGGTATGACTGTGAAAACCGGCTCAAATCCGAAAAAAATAGCTCTGCTGCTTTGTTTGCCTGCTCTCGACTAGCCAGCCGACTATTGCCGTTGCGATGCTGTTTATTGACCATCATCATCCTTAGATCAGTTGCCAGTTTCGCTGGCTTCCAAGCGAGCAACCTGATTCGATGTTAATCCCGCTGTGGGATTATCATTGGAGACGGTTGTTGTTTGCGATCTAATCTCCGGATTAAATTAGAGGGGCTACGTAAGTGGTGGCTTCTTTGCTTGCATCGCTATCGACCTACCTATTTGGGAGTCAGGACTATGGGAGTAATTGTGACTGTACGTACAGTACTCCAGTACTCCCATGCATCCTTCTTCCCTCCCTGCGACTGATCTTTCCCAGAGCTCTAACTTATCGCCTGAGAAAGCCGATGAGTACCGGCCTTCAACTTTTTTGAAATCATGATTGAAGATGATATGTAAACACCGTGTCCGCCAATCCCCCTCTGCCTGTTCAAAACGTACCCGTCCGAGCCCTAAGTGGGAAAGTAACTTAGTCGCAGTGACCGGCTGTGCGGCCCCACCATCCGCTGCGGAAATGGAGTCTCGTTCTCGATTGTGGGTGGTGAACCAGTTTCCCACTTGTCTATCCACCACAATCGGAAGAATTGCTAGTCTAGCAAAACCCACTCCGTTCACTCCACTTAATTAGCCCGATCACCGTGCGAACCAGACAAGAAGGATGTCACGGGCCCAGACCTATCTCCTCCCCCATCAGCACTGTACCTCGACAGTTAGATCCCGTTTTTACCGTTAGTGACTTTACAGAAGGGCACAAACAAACAAGAAAGACCGAAAGGTAAACAGCCATGAAATGGCCCTCTTCCCATCCCCCTTTCCCCCCCCCCCCCTTTCACACCTCACGCCTTGCCCAAACTTTCTCCCATCCCCTCCCTGGTCTGACAGCGGTCCATTCCACATGGAACATACATAGTTAGGTGCATAGGGCATGTCGGTCCTAATTTCCTTTCAATGTGTGGCTGCCGGGTTTACCATGGGTCCATGGGTTTGACTGACCGTCTGGACCCGGGAAAATCCCCTACGCACTGACGGCGGCTAAGAACGGGTGATTTTCGACTACGATGGGATATCCTGGTTTAGTATTGTGGGTGCTCCCGCCGGAAGGGAAGGGGGGGGAATTAGGGATGAGGGATGAGGGATGAGGGATGAGGGATGAGGGATGAGGGATGAGGGATGAGAAAAAGAGGGTAAGTTTTTCTTTATACTTCTGGGGTCTGGGCTTTTTGTTCCCAGTTTGCGGTTCTACGCGTACGTAAACGGGACTTTTGATGTGGGAGTCAAGTGAAGTGTAAAGTGTCAAGTGTAAAAGGTACGGAGTAGTCCGTGTAGTTGAGGGGGTGAATTTTCCTTTGAATTGTGCTGATTGTACATTTCCTGTCAGGCAGGCGTGTTCAGCTATAAGTTAGTGGCTACTAGAGCTACCTACTGTATGATTGCTGCAATCTAGCACTACGAACAGAAGACTACCTAACGTTGCCTACCATAAGCTAATATAGCCTCTCTGCTAATTGAGTTACCGACTGGATAGTTCTCTCTTTAGTTCTCCCTCTCCGCCCCCTCTTCCCTTAAGCATCAATTCAACCTATAGACATAATCTACTGTACATAGTAGATAGAAGATACCCCTTCTCAAAGACACCGGACCCCCATCCCACCACTCAACACCCAACTTTACCCACATCCAAAGCAAAAGGAGCAACGATCTCAAAGCCCGACCCACAAATTTATTTCTCACACTCAGCATCGAAAGATGAGGTCCACAAACAAAGAAAGTATAAAGTAAAGCCCCGTAACATAACCGTAGGCAATAACATTTGACCGGAGGGGTAAGGGAGATCTCTTTCCTAGACAGGACAAACCCCCAACTATTTTTTCCGTTGTCTTTGCAAATCCCGAGATCTTTTGGG